TATTTTTTGCTTTTGATGTCGAAATAAACGAGTTTTTTAAACAAAAAAACCGCAGGAACTAAGTTTACCACCTAATAGATTCAGACGCAATTTAATGTGAGAGTAACGTATGAAGTCACGAGAACGCGAGAACAAAGTCGTAGTAGCGTTCACTGTATGTGTGGAACTCTCCTAGTAAATTGTATTCCGTTCTGTATTTTAAATTTAGAAAAGATTAGTGTTAGGTATTAGGTTAGGTTAGTTCTATAGTTTCTATAGTTTAATTTAAAATTATCATCTAATCTACCACTATATTATTCGTAATAACGTGAAAAAATAGTCTGCATGTGGCAAAAATGCGTCGATTTCCGTAAATTGCAACTCAAAATTTTTATATCTCCTAAACTAAATCAGATTCATTTTCACCACTCTTGAACTTTTGTTTCTAATGACCTGTAGATGATAAATTTACAATTAAAACTTAGCGCTTCGAAAATCGTAATATCCTTATGTTGAGTTAGTGAAAAAGTTTGGTATGAGAGTTTTCTAGACGGTATAAATTTTCTATGATATATGGGTAAATATTTGTTTTAACAGACATAGCATCGATAACCTTGATATATGTTTTTGATGTTATTTGGAAGTAACTTTCGGAAGGTCTTAGCGATAGGACTTTGTTTATTGAAGAGTTATCAAACAAAAGCAACTTTATAAATAAGACATAAATTTTCGATACTTTATATGTTTAAGAAGTGCTAAAAATAACTTTTCAGAAACTCTTTAATAAACAATAAATAACAGTTATAATATTTAGAAGATTATTTAGAAATCTTTATCTCTATTGTCGCTTAAATAATTCGTTTTCAATTGATGAGTCTATTATATACTAAAATAATAGGTTCTAAAAAGATTAGCAAAGATTTCTATATAAGGTTTGAGTTTAAATCCTTATATATATAAGGTTTAGTTATGCAATAAGTTATATAAGAAAATATTTTAGTAATAAGTCGTTCAAGTCACAAATCTTGCATAAGGAAGATTTGCTAATTTGCTAATTTTTTTCACAAGATCCAGTCTAAATTTTTTCACGATTTTTTTAATAAATAAGAACCAATGGCTGAAATCTTTTAAAAGCTACTCTGAATGAGAATGTTTTTAAAAACATATATAGAGTGTCCTATATTCTCCTCCGCAGTTTATGTGGAAACGTAGAACGGATTAAAGCGAACATAAAAGACTTATACCGTTTTGCGATATTCGCAGTAATAGTCGAGATATTATTTAAAAAAGATTGGTGATTGATTACGCGCGATATGGTACATAAGGTGAAGTGTGCACGGAGAAAAATAATTTTGCTCTTTTAGCAAAATCGTCGTTGCTACTGCATATTCGTAGTGACAGCAAAATAATTTAGTTGACGTAACTAATTTTACAAATTATTTGTTATCATAGCAGAAGTAGTTTTGTTACCAAGATAAAAAAAATTTGTTGAGTGTATTTATCTTAAGAATTATGTTAATTTGCTATCGATATAAAATAATGTATCCTTAGCAAATTTATTTGCTATCGGAGCAACTGCTTATATAAATCCATCAAGCTTCTTACAGCAAAATAATTTGTAGATTCAGCAAATTATATCTAGCAAATAGTGATTAGTACTTCTAGCAAATCTTTTTGCTGTTCATATAATAACGAAAAGATTTTGCTAGACTAGCAGAAAATTTACTGGGCCAGCAAATTATTTTTCTCCGTGTGCTGTTGTATGTTTGTACATTAGATCAAATTGAACAAAAAACCTTTTATCGTTTTGCAAATAACCACAAAGATTTTAAGAAAGGAAATTATTACACGATTGTGCGCGATAATCTACAAATCTTTTTTAATTATTATTTAAGAATTTATATAGTCATTTGCAAAATGGTAGAGGACTTTTTTGTTTAATTTGACCTAATATATAAGCATACAACGGCAAACGACACTACTACAGCTCATCTATCATATAGCGCGTGACCATTCATCAATTTTCTTTAATTAATATCTAGAGATTTATTGTGAATATCGCAAAACGGTATGGGACATTTATGTTCACCTTAATCTATTCTATGTTCTCACAAAAATTGCAGAAGAGAGTCTGGGATACTCTGTGCAGCAATTAATTATTTTAACGAATACTAATAATTCGATGAACCTTCGAAAATTTTGATCTTGACATATATTTTGTAAATTCCTCTACTGTGCAATTTTTGTCTGTTTTTTTATCAGTAGATCTGTTAGCACTTTTCTTATTAGAACTTAAGAGATATCAAAGGTGATTAATAACGTTATTAATAATGTTATTAATATCTGAAGTTTCGAAAATATTAAAATTATTATCTTTTTACAGTATCGATTGTTGGCAAATGGAAAAACATCTTTGAAAGTAAAACAGGATTACACGACTTAGTAAAACAGGATATGCTTCCGTAGCTGTAGGCCTCGGAATTTTTGTCACATTTCGGGCTGATTTCAGACGCGATGCCCACCGCTGCCCCACTCTCACTCGAGCCTCAGCGGCCGATCGCTTTGCCTCAGGAGCGTTGTTGAGTAAGAAATACGTATGTAGCGCTTCTGTGTGCCAATCCGTTATTAAAATTTTTACTTCTTCAATGTATATATTTTTTTGTAAATAATATAATGTTACATTATTTATGTGTAATATATTGTAGATACACACCTACACACACACATATATAATTTTATATCGAATATAATGCGTGTGTGTGTGTGTGTGTGTATCTGTCTTGTAATTTTGATAATAGATTTCCACATCACCCATGAGGTACTATTGTTGATGCGTTTTTTTTTAAGTGGTTTCCCCTGTAAGCCTATTCCACTAGAAATAAATTAAAATTAATGACATGACTCGGCAGAAAAGCGAAATTCTATATTATAAGATATATACGGAAGAAAAAAAATTCTAATCATAGAAGAAAAAAAATCAGCCAATCTTAATGTTTCCTAGATCGTTTACACGATTGTACTAAAGATGGTATATCCACAGAAATTTTGGAAGAACTAGCTCGCATCAACGAAGACAGTGATGCATCGTTCAAAGAAGAACGTGTGGCTGTCTTTGTAAAATTCATTTTCGAAAAAGAGCATTCACATAAATATGTAGACCCAAACATGGAGAAACTTTGAAGACCAAAATCTCTAAGACGTGGGTAACACGATGGATTTAAAATTTTGAAGAACTCAATCCCTTTTTCTGGACGTGTTTTAAGTGAAAGATCGCATTGCAAATCACACAATTCTGCTTGAAATTCTAAGCTTTGTTTCTCGATTTGCACAGTGAGAGGATTCTCAAAAAGTATCAAATCTTTTCTTAGCGTTTCAAAATCGGAAACGCGAATCAAATTCTTCTATTATTGAATCAATTATATTCAGTTGCTTTATGAAGTCACTATATTTGCCATGTTCCTCATAGAGAATCTGGCAAGAAGGAAAGAAATGAAGAATATTATTTTGCAACTGATTTTTTAAGAGTAACAATTTTCTATGGAAAGAATTGACATGACTGACTACTTGTGAAATAGTTTGGTTTGTTTTTTGCAGCTTTAAATTTAAAGTATTCAAATGGTTTGTTATGTCGGTCACTAAAACAAGTTCACAAAGCGAGTCTAAGTTTTCGAA